AAAAATTTACAATCCATCACTATAAATTATAAAATTAGTTTTTATACTAAAGTCGAAGTAGAAGGAAATAGAAGTTTTTTTCTCATGAAATTATTTAAATTGAGAAAAGTTCAGTACAGTTGAAAAGTTTCAGAAGCTTAAAGGCTTAGAGAAATACTTTCATTTCATTTTGACTTTTATTTGTATATGTATTTTCGATAGCTATTTATATGTATTATTTGCTATTTGTGAATATCTATGGAGAAGTTGTAGTAGTAGTAGTAGTACACGTAAAGGCTCTGCTTTAGTTTAATTCGTATTTCTGGCTTACGAACTAACTTAGGCTAACATGCACACACGCACTGACACTCAGACACACAGACACACAGACAGTCAGACAGACACATATACAGATGTATAAATGGAATACTTAAGTTTTGTTAGTTGAGCTTAAATTGCTGCACAATCCACATCCACATCCGTTTCCATATCCTGGCATTACGCTTACAGCTGAAACATCATTTTTAGCTACAACTTAACTATTTATTTTTATAATACAACTTTGCCGACTTCCGTCGTGTTGGCTTGAATTGGCAGAGCTGCACCACTGCCACCGCCCGGTCCAGCACCGCTGCCCGTTGCAACCACGGCCAACGCATTGTCCACGCCCACTTGAGAAGGCGATGGCTGCTGCTGTTGCTGCTGCTGTTGCTGCTGTTTGGCTTTCGCTTTATCATGCACGTACATCGCGGCAAGGGCATTGAAACGTGGACCCCAATTTTGTAAATAGTTAAAGTCTTGATTCTCATCGTCGGTGCCTGCAATGGGCATGAGTGGTTTTATTTCAGTGTCAAGGTATTCATTGTGCTTCTTTGTTGCTCAGCTCTATGCTTACCTGATGCCAACGAGCTGAGCGATTCGGCAATGCTGCCGCTGCCCTCGAACGTGAAATTGCGCAGGTCGTCGAAGGGCGGCGCATTGGGATCCTTGTCGATGCGCTGCTTGCGCTCCTCCATCAAATAGGCCACATTCAATTCCTGCCCAGGCGGCAGTAGTGTCATCACAGGATCTAAAAGCAGAGAAAGGTTTCAAATCTCTCTCTCTCTCTCTCTCTCTC